CCAAATGGCTGCTCACTGGCCTAGCAGTCTTGGATCTTGAACAGGTTTGCATCCCACAGGGCAATTCAAGCTTCGCCCTATGAGGTTGCCTTTGGACGAAGATACTGTGGGAAAGTGGTTTGCTTTGGAGAATATGTCATGATCCTCAATCGACAACCTGGTGCAAAGCAAGGTCCGCAATGGTTGCCTGGAGTTTGGGTTGGAAAGACGCATGAGGGTGACCTTCATTTGGTTGTGGGCAATTCTGGCTTCTTGAGAGGAAAAGCCATTCGAAGGACGTCAGAACCTTGGAGATCAGTTTATGTTTTCCTGGTGAAAGAGAAGCCATATCGAAATCCTCACCTTCGACGACCTCTGAAGTTGATGCCTGCAACACCAATGATTCCTCGTGGTGTACGAGGACCTGGAAGACCAAGAGGCAGTGGCAACACAGGTGGAGGATTGAAGACTCCAGCACCAGGAGAAGCCGAAGCTTTCCATCGAGATCAAGATGCAGACGACGTAGAACGCTATGCACGTGAGCATGCCGGAACCGACAGTCCCATTGAAGAGAAGAGGGCCAGGAATAAGAGCGATGGAAGGCATGAAGAAGAACCGGCTGACAAGTTCATTTGTGTTCCACCACTACCTATGGGCATGGATGAAGAAGAGAAAGATGCTGGAAAGAGAGACCCAGTACACCAGAAGTCAAACTTCCTGCAACCCCTCGCAGAGGTGAAGAGATGGTGGACGACAGCAGTGTGAATGAGCCTCAATCAAAAGCAGCAAGAACAGATCCAGCAAGCAGTCCCTCGAATTTGCATTCACCTTATTTCGCTGGAGGTGTTCGACAGGTTCAATACCCAGTGAATGACGAGCCTTGGGAGGACGAGATGGAGTCGTTCATTGACCATGAAGCTACCCAGGATTGGGACCCACTCGACATCGACGCCCTCGACGAAGGATGTCCTCCTGAGGTGAGTGAAGAAGAATTAAAGGTGATTGAAGAAGCAGCTGGACAAGAGGAGATTCAAAGGCTGTTGAAAATGGGTGTGCTCAGAGATCCAACAGAAGAAGAGTTGATGAGTGGAGACATTTGGACGACAAGAAGTGTCTTTGATTGGCGCGTGAGAGAAAAGAAGTGGAAGCGCAGATGTCGCTTTGTGGCAAGGGAGTTCCGTGGCTCGGATGGATCTACACCCAAAACCTTTGCGCCCACAAGCTCATTGAGTGGGACTCGCCTTCTCCTTTCCACACACGTGCTTCTTGGATGGAAGATCATGTTTGTCGACATCAAGGATGCATTCCTTTTGGTTCAAAAACAAAAGCTTGTGCTTGTGGAACAACCAGACTGGTGGAATCCCAAAGGTGATTTGGTGATGGGACAAAAGCGCTACTGGACACTTGCAAGATGCTTGCCAGGACAGCGAGATGCAGCCGCACGATGGTATGAGTTCCTCACAGACCACTTGGTGAATTGGTGCTTTCAGAGTCATTTGAGTCTGCCTTCGTTGTTTCGCCATGAGACCCGAGCAATAGCAGCGGTATGCCATGTGGATGACCTCATCATTGCTGGTGAGGTGGAGTCTTTGGAATGGCTGCTTGGTGCAATGAAAGATGAGTTCACTTTGAGTGTATCTGGAATCCTTCCACATGGTGACCAGTCAGAAGAAGAAGCAGTGCGATGTCTGAAGAAGCGCCATTACTTCACAAAAGATTGCATTGTGATCATGCCTCATGAGCGCTACATTCCTGCTTTGCTAGAACTTTATGGTTTGGAGAACCTGTTGGAAGGAGCAGATCAATTTCGATTTCGCTCAGCCTTGGGAACCTTGCTCTATGTGAGCCAGGACAGGGTCGACATTCAGCATTGCATTCGCAATTTGAGCCAGTTCATGGTACTACCAAGAAGGCAGAGGCTGAGATCAAGCATGTGATCCTGTACTTGAAGCGCGCTGAACGCTATGGACTCCTACTGCCCTACCAAAAGTACAGAAGCAAGAAGGCAGATTACTTGGAGACTTTCACCGACAGTGACTGGGCTGGAGACAAAAGTAGCCAAGTTCGACGACGACGTAGTGTAAGCTCGGTCTGCGTGTTTCTCAATGGCTACATGGTGACCAGTTGGAGCAGATCTCAAAAGAGCATTGCTTTGAGCAGTTGCGAGGCAGAGTTCCTAGCCTCAGCTGGTGGTGTGGCAGAAGCAATTCAAGTGAAAGACCTTTGGCATTTCATTAGCCGAAGGGCTGTGATGATCAAAGCCATCACGGACAGCAGTTCATGCCGAGCATTCACTGAAAGGCTTGGAGTTGGCAGGCTGAAACACATCGACATCAAGTACCTTTGGATGCAACTTGAAGTCAAGAAAGAAACTCTGAAGATGGAAGGCATTCCAACTTTGTGGAATGTTTCGGACTTGGGAACAAAACGCCTAAGCCGACAACGACTTGAATTTCTCATGTACCTGATTGGCCTCATGGAGATGCACTCTGAAGGAAGAGATGAAGTCTTTACCCCAGTTGGAGAAGATGCTTTCAACAAAGAAGTTGAGAAGAGAGTGCTTGCCAAGAAGATGAAAGAGGTGAAGAATGAAATGGTGCAGGCCGTGTTCATTATTGACGGCAGCTATGGAACCAAGATCCCAACAAACCTGGTGAGAGCAGTTACCTTGTTGCTTCTACATCGAGAAGTGCGAAGAGAAGAAGTTTCTGTAGTTCGTGAACTACCATCTGGTTGGGCAATCTTCCAGATCTTGACTCTCTACACCATGGTTGTGTTCGCCTTTGGTGTGTACATTGGCTACAGGTACAGGATGAAGATTTCCATTTGCTTCAGGACATGCTGCAGATTTTTGAGACAAGAAGTGACAATGGAATTCCAACGAGAACAAGATCTACGTGATCAGGTTGGGATGATCATGCAAGCAAGCATGGCTGCTGGCATTGGAGAATGGCACCCAGATCCTCGGATCTATGATCCTCTACTACCTCGAAGTTCAGGAGATGAAGGAGAAGGAGTGAACGAAGCAAACCCTGAAACCAGGGTATGGGACGATCCAAATGCAGAAGAACCTGAAGAGTCTGAACCAGAAGCAGAACAGTCCCAAGAAGAAAATCGAGAAAGAACATGGAACTTTGAGTGGACCGGCAGTTGGCTGACAGATTGGAATCCTGAACTTGGACGACTACAAGAGTATCGAATTCTGGAACACTCAGATGATGCCGAAAGTGGTGAGGAGTACTTCATGAGCAATCCTCTGGGAGGATACCAAAGAAGATATCGCCCTAGCCAGTCGGAGAGATGAAGCAAGCCCTATGGAGGTGGACGAGGCAGAGATTGACGAACAGCTCAGAAGGAGTGCAGAAAGAGCTGATGAAAGAGCCCGTGGTGTATGGGCAGACCCACCTGGAGAGATGCCGCCTGTGGATGGAGATTGGTGGGACTTTGACACCTTGATCCATTGGTTGAAGCCTGATGAACGACCCCGAGCACAGAGATTGAAAGAAGCTGGGGTTTTCCCCAATAACCAGCTGAAAGAATTTCTGAGGACAAGGCTGACCTCGATCTATGGTGGACGCTATTTCCACATGGTGTTCGACCACCTTTTGGGTTGGACACAAGAAGAGCAGCGAGACTTCGCAGCTTTCAGTGTGGCCGTGATCACAAGTCAATGGGATCACGATTTCGATGGCTGCACGAGACGGTGCATAGAGACCGGCGAGGTCTAAAGAAGTGGAGGAAAAAGGTGTGGTTCCAAAACACCACACTTTTTAGGTGGAGTGTCAGAAGTTTCCACCTTTTGTACATGTCAAGACCTCGTGGCTCACAGTGGCCCAAGCCTAGCTGGAAAATAGCCGGCGCGAGCTTCGCTTGTTTTTCAGATTTTGAAGATCTCCGAAGTCCTCACACGAGGCTCCTTAACCAAGCATGAAGCATAGGTCTTGAGAGGACGACTAGGTTTTGCTGACAGTTTCTTGCACCGCATTCTCCCCCGTCCAGAAAAGAGGTCTTTGGAAACTTCGTGAGACGCCAAACTTTGCAGTGAAGACCTTTTTCGCGCAGTGATGAGGTGTTCACGGCAGAGTTTTAGGGATAACTATCCCGGGTGTCTCATTTTATGTTTTGATGCTGTGGCAATTCTTGTTCAAGAGGGAGGGTGAGGTGGGCTCCTCTTTGACGGTGGGCGAAAGCCAAAAGAGCCCACCCACCCACACCACATATTGGATATCAGCGCCTTCCAAGAAGCTTGCTGTCGTTGGCCAGACCCAAGGCGTGAGTTGAGCTGCGTTCTCCTCTGTGCAAAAAGAGGCCTTTGGAAACTTCGTGAGACACCAAACTTTGCAGTGAAGCTGAATCTTCCTCTTAGTGGATCCATCAAACCATCAATCCATGACTCTATTCGGTCGCGCAACTGCATGTGCTGCGTGCTGTTCCGGCCCGGCAATGCTGGTCAGCTTGTGATTGTGTCACGCCAAAGATTGGGTGACGGGAATGTTTGTGATTCTGTGTGCCATGGGACTTTGTCAGATTGACCTCTCCTTTTTCTTTGGAATCTATAGGGCGATCAATTGCCTAGATTTCTGAATCTTTGTGTTGCAGGCAACTTACTTGCTTGTTCATGTTTGTGTGTAATTTATTTTGTCCCAGCTTTGCTGTTGGGCATCTCAGTTTGTGCATATGCATGCACAGATCTTGTCACAAAGTGATTTTATTGTGGTTCCTCATTGACGTGTCTTCCTTGTGACACCGGCTCACAGGTGCCGATCAATCCTAGTGAGTCCTAGGTCCGAGTGTGCATGATCACACCTGGCAAGCAAAGTGCAATGTGCCCAGATTGTTTTCCTTAGCGTGGACATTCTTCTAGCTCCCATCCCCACAGTCTGGCATCACCCAGCAATTGCCACACTCACCCGAACAATGGTTTGCGGATGAAGAGGTGAGAAACATGAGGGCGGTGCATGTGCTCTTCATATGGTTCATATGTTTCTGACAAGCAGCAAAGCACATGCATGATTCTGATTCGCATGGTAGCTTCATTTTGTGCTACGATCATGAGCGCTCGCTTCCCATGAGATGGGCCCATATTTGCAAGGTCCTTATGTAAAGGTGTGTGTTGCTTGGTTGCTTTTCGACTCTTTGCGGAAGAGAGGCTTCGCAAAGCTAAGGTCCCAACCTGTCACTCAGAAAGAGTCACTCTGGCAAGTTTGTTCCGAGTAGTTTCAAGATGCGAATGCCCGCCGTGTCGGGGCTAATGCAGAATTTACAAACATGTTTGGTTTGGCAACATTTTTGTTTTGCTGTTTTCGTCGCCAAGAAGTCTCATATGTGGACACCCGGCCTGAAAAAGACTTATTGATGGAGTTCGGGGCGCTAAAGCCCAGAACTCATAATTTAAATGAACAAAGACAGGTCAATGATCATGTTTGATTTCGGGAAGGGCTGCGCTTGACCTCGAACCATAAATGATAGACACTGGAGGTTTAGATGCCGCTAACCTAGCTGAATCCACTGACCAAGGCAATCACCAAGGTGTCAGCAAACCTCAGTGAGGTAGAGGCCCCCAAGCCATTGAATCAGGCCAGCGAAAAAAAATTAAGATTCTGGAGAAACATTACGGCACTGCGCCTCGGCTCACCAAGCATTGGATGATGGCTGACGGTTCTGTGGCCGCTCATGCGCACATGCAGATTCCCTGGTCTCTACTTCAAGCCGGCCGATATTCTGGGCTCCCATTCCACAATCAACGATGCATTTGTCACAATGTCACCATGAACATGATGGATTGTATAGGACCAGAAGGCTCGTAAGCAAAGGCCAGGGATCGGTGGCGCATTGAGGCTCTTGCAGTGCCAAGAAGTGCAGTATGCACAAGATGAACATTTTGAGGGTCCTGCATTCCTGCATGCTTTAGTCTTGATCGTTTTAGATCCAGATCCTCTAAAGGCATTTTGGGTTTTACTGAAACTTGTTCTGCTTACATGAGATTTTCACTACTTTAGATTTTGTGTTTCGTTCATTTCATCTTCATCGAGGATTAGCATGATTAGCACAGGGTACTGAAGGGTTGCTCAGGTTCTTCCTTTTCTACTAGTGACTTCCCTTCGAGTCAGAGTGTAATTTAGGATATCAATTTTGACTTGTTTTCTCACTGGTCAGTAGTTCGCCTCCGGATTGTTTGTATGTTTTGTCAGATTTTTGCTTGGGTACTTAGGGCTTCGGGGTTGTTTGTCTTTGAGTTTGTGCCTATGGTGGGGTCACAGGTCGCTTCTGCTCGCAGCTGATTCTGCCAAATTTCAATTGGTGCAAGAAAAAGGTCACATCCAGCCCATAAACCTATATTATTTTAAGTCAATGCCAGGTCATGTTCAGGGAGCGGAAGGCTGTGGAACATGCTGCAAACATAATTAGAGTTCAAGAGTGGTGGTTGTTTATGCATAATGCTCGAGCGCTTTTGTCTTGGTGGAGGGGGCACCTTTGGGGCTGCAGTGCTATGCAGGGATGGAGAACCAGCATGGAGGTGGATTTGTGGCCTTTCTTTGCAGTGCCAACGCTCTTTGTTGCAGCATTTCCTGCACCCATGCCCTATTTTCAGGATTCTCATTTGGCTATCTCTGGGCTCGGAGAAGAGCTGCGAGCATCTCACTGATGGTACCGAAATTGTAACAGCCAAGAATGTGGCTAAGGAGTGGGATCTCTTTGTTTGGAGTCTTTGATGGACATGGAGGCTCAGAGGCGCGAAATTTCTGAAGCCCAGGTTGAAAGAATTTATGAAGGGAGTCCAGCAATTGATGCAGGTCGCAGCGTTCTGCAAGAAATACATGCCTGACGAAATCAGCAGGCTCAGACATTTCGCAGTATACATGTGCCCAGTTCCGAATTTGCCAGGCAGCTGAGAGTGCGGTTGGCAAGTGGTACCAGGTGTGAAGCTGCTCTTGTGTGTCACAAACGAGCATTCCTCTGACCTATGCCTGGAATTTTAGTCTTCCATGACACGATGATAATTCACAACTGCACCATTCACCTGATAGCTCAAACCTTCATGCTTTCTGACAGAGTTCGATATGCTTTCAACTGTTGGTCGTGTGGTTGTTTCGCTGCAAGACGGTTAGTCAGCCTGGAAAGTGGATCCCAGCAATTCACAATATTGGTGTGGTTCATGATCTCTTGAGGGCGCAGCCTACTTCCAATGCGGAGGGGGCTGATGCAGGATGTGCAGATTTGCGGGAGAAAGAAGATCTTGGAACACACCAAAGCAGACACGAGAAGGAAGACCAAAATGCTCGATAGAAGGCCAGAAGAAAAGGTTGGGCTGAGATTGGGCCTTAAAGAATTGGCCAGGAAGAAGCGAAAAGGGAGATGAACAAAGACCTTATTATTACCATTTGTTTTTAGTACATTCTTTCGATTCTCTCTGAAATTCTGAAAGACTGTGACACGACCAGCTTGACACATGTGAGGGGCCTCAGGTTGCGACCTTTCCACAGGAGGGACGCTGATGATGAAGGGTGGGTGCAGGTCGTTGAAGCGAAAAGGCAAAGCCAGAGCAGGAAGCAGCGGAAGGAGAGAGCAACAAAGTTGGTCAAATTTCCATGGGCCCATCAGTGCCAAATGCAATTCTGAAATTTGAAAAGGTTGCTCTGAGGGTGCCAAGCAGCGGAAGGTTACAGAAAGAATGCCACAATGTGCCCAAGTGATCCCAAGTGCAGACTTGGATAGCCTCGGCAAGGGTTACGCCGAGCGTTTTTTTTCCCTTAGTCTCCTTAGTTGACAGAGCTACAAAGCTTGGGTCAACAAAATCGCCAGAAGCGGATGTAGATTGAATGCTTGATGGCTTGATGTGTTCTTTTCTTGTGATCCAGAAGTAGTTGATCGCGTAGTCAGCGACGGGAAAACTGGTTGCTTGAACCGTGAGGGTTCCACGCTGAGGTTATGATCCTGTCAAGGTGAGAGCAGTCTTGTAATATCACTGTGCTTATGAGATCGTGGGACTTAAAGCTACGTAAGGGGCCCATGTTGTTGAGAAGGAGATGCAGTACAGCGCCTGCCCATGTGTTGGCATTGTTTGAAGCGTCGGCCCTGTTGTTCCGACGCCTCTCACCAGTGCCCCGTGCAGTGTTTGGTTTGTTTGCAGGCTTTCCGGCGATTGCTTGGGGGAGGTGCGTCAGGGAACCTTCTGGGAAGGTGTGCTAAAAGGCACTTGTCACGAGCCCCTCAGGTTCTGACTGCTTCCTTCCATGCGATGGACGAGATGCTGCGGTCACCTGAATTTGAGCGACCCTTGCTCGCGCTGAAACAGGTTCAGTCCTGAAGTTGGTTGCATGGAAGTCATGGCCCGGCTTGCCTGGCTTGCCCAGCTTGCCCCTATATACCAAGTATGTATGCCTGACATTGAGTTGTACTAAGGCTGCGAGAGCTGGTCCAAAAGGCTTCGGCTGTGCTTTGTGCTACGTGAATGAACTTGCTTGTGCCCTGCGGTGCCAGGAGGTGATGCTGGCGTTTCATCTTCCGAAGCAGGCACTGCAGAGTTTCCATGTCAATGAATTGGTTGGGGTGAGCCAAGGATCTTCATCAAGCGCTGACTTAGACGAGGCGAGGTTGCCATACAGCGTTTTGGACAAGAAAGACACATTTGTTGTACCCAATGGCTGCTAGCTGTATTTTGCTGTTGTCTCCACGACATGTCGCTTTTTTCCCTTGGGTTTCGTTCTTTGTCGCCGTGGCTGTGTCCCAGTAGGAGTAAGGACGCTACTAGGGTCTCCTGGCATCGCTACTAGGAACAAGAAGCTACTGGGGATTCCTGGCCATACTACTGGGAGCAATGACCCTACTAGGGGCTCCTGGCATCGCTACTAGGGGCTCCTGGCCGTACTACGAGGAGCAAGGACGCTACTAGGGGTTCCTTACTAGGAACAAGAAGCTACTAGGGGCTCCTGGCCGTACTACTAGGAGCAAGGACGCTACTAGGGGCGCCTGGCATCGCTACTAGGAACAAGAAGCTACTAAGGGGCCCCTGGCCTTACTACTAGGAGCAAGGACGCTACTAGGGGCTCCAGGCATCGGGGGCTCCTGGCATCGCTACTAGGAACAAGAAGCTACTAGGGGGGATAAACGTCGGATCAGCGACTGAGGGTCCGGATCAGCGACCAG